GATCGCAGCCCAGAAGGCCAACCGTATCCTGGGCCGCATCAGAAGAAGTGCGGCCAGCAGGTCAAGGGAGGCGATTCTGCCTCTCTACTCTGCTCTGGTGAGACCCCAGCGGGAGTACTGCGTCCAGCTCTGGAGCCCCCAACATAGGAAAGACATGGACCTGTCAGGAACTCACACACACACACACCCACCCCACCCCCCGTGGGAATTCGATTCCCGTGGGCAAAATTTCTCACGGGGATGTTGAGGCTCTGGTCCCCGGTGGGCGCAGGGTCATCAGCATCCCTGCTCCTAAAGAGCGCTCATTTAGATCATCCCGCACTGCCTCGCACCATGGAGATGCTCAACCCAGAGAGGTCCAACCAACCTCTCTTTTTTTTTTTTTTCCTTTATTTTTTTCTCTTTTTATCCCTCCCAAAGAAAAAAAAAAATACAAAAAACCCCAAACCCTCTAACCTCCCTTCTTCAGCTCCAACTCGACTTGTCTACTTTGAGCCAGGATTACAGAACCGGGTAGGGGAGGCAGGTGGAAAATAACCCCGTGGTCCCAGTCTCCTGGGCAAAGGTTTCAGCCGCCTCCAGGCCATTTGTGCCCGTTGGTTCCTCTCCTCATCACCCCAAGCGCAGATATTGCCGCAGACCCCTCTTTTCTTGGAAATTTCCCTTTTCCGTGCAACCCTCCTCTCCCTTCTCCTTATGCACTAGAAAAAATAGTACAACCCTGACAAGGCTTGCAGCATTCAACCGCTTCGCTTAACCCTTTTCTGCCAGGTCCGGAGGAGAGGAGGTTGCATCTGTCCCAGTTTTTCTCCTTTTCCTGCGTTTTCTCCCCACCGCTCGCTCCCCAACCACTCGCTCAGGTGTTCGGCTGGATTTGACCTTCCCCGGCTCCTCCGAGCATCATGCAAAAAAAAAAAAAAAAAAACCCCCCCCCAGCCACAAACCCCCATTTCACCAAAAAACCAACCAACCTGGAATGTTGGGGGTTTTTTATAATACAGTTTTTCTCCTGCCTGTAAACTCTCTCCCCCCCTTTCTCCCTTCCCAAAACACCTCCGGTCTGTTGAACAGCACAGAGATTTACTTATTTATTCTTTTTTTTTTTAACATGTTGATTTTTATTTGATGTGGGGTCGAGGCTTCTTCCTCCAAGTCCGAATCCAAGGGGTGATGCTCGGTGCTTATCGGAGACGGTTACGGCATCATCTGAGTTGACATCACACATCCCAACACTCACCTTCTCCTACTTTCTCCCCATCGCATGCTTTCCTAGCAAACACCCCCCCACCACCACCACCTTTGAGCATCTTTGGGGTTAATTCATGGAAATTTGGGGGTGGGGGGTGGGGGGGGAGCATGGAGGAGGTGAAGATTTGCCCAAAGACCCTCCGTTTTCTCCCTGCCTGCCCTGGTGAGACCGCAT